CAATATGGCACCGAGTTGCCTCATGGCAACATGCATTTATGTCACAAGTAGGACGATTTGAAGAGAATCGCATAAAAAAAGTTGAAGTGGAATAGTTTTCGGAATTCATGCGCCGATTCCTCCTGGACTACTATATAGAAGAATTGAGCGCGCATCTTTGTCACTGCCAAATATGTAGGCGTCACCCTTGCCTCGAGGCTCACCTTCGGGTCTCATGTAAAAAGAGTAACCCGTCACGCACGTATTTATCTGAGTAGGCTCGACAGTATGCTGGGCCGACACAGTAAAATGTCCCTCCGAAACAAGCGAACCCTTTATAAGGTCTGTATACCACCAAACATGTCTTACGCGGGCCCTATATTTGCTCACGCTGAGCCCAAAATCATAAATGAACTCCAAATAGTTCGAAACCGTTTCTGTCGCTGAGCTACGAACGCACCCTGGTACGTCCGTAACGCCGACCTCCATCGGGACTTAGAGCTTCCTATAATCTACACAAAAAACACTCTCTGAGAACTTCTTCAAAGCCTCAGAGTCGCATTCCAATCATTTTATTCGTGAGGCAGCTACTTATACAGCCCCACTCCCCTCTCGCTATCGAGTCCGCAGGCCGAGAAACTCTCTCTCGGACCCGCCTAATAAACTTTCAACCGACCTGAACTGCCTCCTAGCGGCTCAGGCCGACGCTTCTTAAATATGCCTCAGTAGGCTCTCCCTCAGCAAATCGTAGCTGCCTGCGCCCTCTTTTCCCAAAAGAGGGTCGCTTCCGATTCAGCAGAGAGGCCTCAAAGGCCATTGCCGTCCCCAAAAGTGGAGTTTAGTGAGTACACTTAGGGTGTTAGGTAGTGTTGCCCAAATGCAAGAACAAGACGAGACTTAGCAAGTCTTGGTCTTGGTCTTGCGCCAATACACCTGGTCTTGGTCTTGGTCTTGGTATTGCGCTCCCAGTCTTGGTCTTGGTCTTGGTCTTGCAGCAAGAGTCTCGCAAGTCTCGCAATGACCTATTAGCCTATTACTATTTATTAAACGTTACTTTAGATCTTAGAACAAATAAACAGAGTAGGTACATATTGAGCTTGAATTAACATAGCTATAGTAAAGACCAACCATATTAATAAATGTCTAAACATTTAATGAGAAATTCGAAAAATCAAATGACACCGGGTGGGGTTTGAACCCACGACCTAAGCGATCCGTGCCGATGCTCTAACCAACTGAGCTATCTATCGGGTCCCACGGCCACGGGCGTCAGTTTCTTAATAAACGTTTACATTTAATAAGCTTACATGTGCTAAAACATGGTTAAACATACATATAAAAACAAATTAATGGCTATAACTACACTGTATTTTAAATAACATTATCTCTCTAGAAAGAGATTAATGGACCCTCACCATATATGAAATGGAATAAAAGAGTTATACAATATACCATTTATTAAAATAAAAAATAAAATACGATGCAAATTAAATTACTTCACAGTATGAACACAACAGCTTTGACATTACTGTTACTTTATATTTATTCTTTTGACAAAGCATTAATACAAAGTAACCATCTGGCTGACTCATCACTTAACCTATTTCTATGTTTTCTAATTACTAATGATGCTTTAGAAAATAATCTCTCAGCAGGTACTGAAGTTGCAGGTATTAAAAGAAAATCACGGGCTATCTTCGATAAAATCGGATATTTTGTCTCATGCGTTCTCCAACAGTCTAAAATGTCTTCCGAGATGACGGCTCTGGGTTTACCTAGGTACCCCTCCAACTCCTTAACAACTAAGCCTTGAAGACAAGATCCAGATCCATTTTTACACATTTCAAGTGTTTTAAAAGTGCTATGGTGTCAACCATATTTATCAAATGTGTGACGACATATTCGAGCACTTTGTGTTTTAAAAACACACACTTGCAAAAGTCGAGATTTGCAGTGAACTTATTGAACATGTTTATCTATTAGGTAATAATAATAATAGTAAGTAATTATTATAAATCCATATAGTTAATTTTATAATAATTACTTACTAGAATAAATTATTATGATACCTACCTATTATCTAATTACAAGATTTCTTGTGAGATCAGGATAATGTATTCGTGTCCATTCTGAGCACCCGGAAACTTATTTTATTCTTTGAAACATGTACTCTGTGGCGGCAATCAAACAGTGTCAAATGTAGTGCGTGCGGCGCGGCGGCGACGATTGTATGCGATATCAATAGTAGCCGCCGGCACGTGTATCTTGACCTTGTACTTTCGAATAGCTGCACAACTTCTTTGACAGGTCAGTATCCGACCTTTGATGACGCCGACAACAAGACGCCGCGCACCATCAAAGTGCCGATGATCAAAACTAGGGATGCACTCTTTTTTCTTTTAATGGATATTTTCATTCGCTATGTATATTTATGGTATTGTTCGTAATGCGCATAAGTCGAATTTTCCAATTTTCTTTTCATTATATTTTTTGCGTCTCATAGAGTCCTTAAGCGTATACTCGAACTCCTATACTCCCTGAAACGACACTTAGTCCTAACTGCAAGACGCAAGAGTCTCGCAAGCTAAGTCTTGTTCTTGCGCAAATCTTGCACGGTCAGTCTTGGTCTTGGTCTTGCTAAAAAGAGGCGATCTTGTTCTTGGTCTTGGTCTTGCAAAAATGCAAGAACAAGACCAAGACTGCAAGACCAAGACCGATTTTGGGCAACACTAGTGTTAGGATAGTTAGTCACAGTGATTTCCACATAACCACGACAGCCGGCTGACGTGGTATGCATAAAGTATTCTCCACTTCCTCGCGTAACGGAGTAGCCCTTTTCTATTGCTTCTGGGCGCAAAAAAAGCATCTTTGTTTATGTTAGTCTCTTTAGTGTGCTGTAAAAACAAAAATGACGCTACTGATAATAAAATATGTAAATAAGAATCAATCGTCCGTATTGTGCTTTGATCAATGGTATTAAGCATTTTAATTCAGTGACTTACCACCAGATGTCATGAATAGTTAAGCTTAAGTTTCATTATTTTTCGTATAAGACACGAGATGGCGATAATTTTCTTTACAAATGGAATTCGTTGAAGTAAGTTTATTTATTTTTATTGTATTCTGGAAATATGGGAATTATAAAAAATTACATAATTTTGCAAATATTATTTTGAAATGTTTTTAAAGAAGTATATTTAAAAAAGGAAAAATAAAAACATATTTTGATAAATTTATATAAACAATGTAAATAAATAATACATTGATTTTTATTTTCAAAAGATTTAAATATTAACTTAATTTTTATTGCTCTATCAGATAAACAAAAATTTTATCGAGGCTATTACCTATTGTAGAATAGAACCCGCACCTTTATGGATATGATTTTAATGTTTTTTAAATGAAGTTTTTTTTTTAAATTATATTCTTAGGTTGTTGGGAAAAGATTGCTATGTAGCAATAACACCTTTTCGTCGCTGACTCCGCAAAGGGGCGAACGACAAATTTTCAAAAAATTACAGGAGAGCAAGAAAACATTTATTACTCCCCGAATTAAATATATTAGACTTAATAGAAAACTACAAATAAGATTAATTTTCTGATGAAATAAAGCTAGTAATCGGGGAATAATAAATGTTTTCTTGCTCTGCTGTAATTTTTTGAAAAATTGAGGTACGCCCCTTTGCGGCGTCAACGACGTTTTGTTTTCCCTCAATATTTGTTTTCCCTCAATATTTGTTTGTTTTCGTTATATTAATATTTTCTTGGTATACAATAAAGAGTATCGCATTATATTGTATTGTCAAAGGTCATATGCCCTCACAGAACTGAAGTTCTACTTCCTTATTATATATAAAAAGTGATATACAATCTATGTAATAATATATATTCTTTGACTCTGTAAACATCAGAAACAGACACAAGCTAGTGATACTAGTTTCTCTATCCCACAGAGTCAGTATGTCATTTATTGGGCAATGTATACGTCAAATACAATAAAAAGGAGTTATATAATAGAAATTAATACATTTTTTTTATAGGATAGGGTGACAAACGAGCACACAGTCCACCTGATGGTAAGTGGTTGCTGTGGCCCATAGACATCTACATCTATCCTCGTTTGCGAATCAAAATGCAGATGCGTTGTCACCCGTGAGGACTAAGATGGTATGCCTCTTTTCCAGTAAAAAGGGTCTTTGGTTCTCTGCATTCACCATACGAAACACAGCAGCGTTAAGCTGCTATTTTACGCTGGTATTCTGTGAGAGCGTGGTCCTTCCCCGGTAGAGCCGACCCATTCGTGCCACAACTATACTACTAATATAGCTACAGCATGGCTCTACCACGTATAAAACCCCAGGGTTAATAATACCTCCTAATATGTTCTTATTGTATAATTATATTTTGAAAAAAAAGTCTTGCTGTTTTTCTCGTTGGCTCTTTCCAAAAAAAAAGTTCTTTCCGGACCTGTGGTAAAAGTAAACAATGACTGTCAAAAAAAAATACTTGTATGTAATATACGAGTATATTGACTAAAAATATTTTATTCTATGTTTACAGGTATTTTCGAACAAGCGGTAAAAGTAAAAAATGACTTTCAATAAGAATTAATTGTATACTAAAGATGAGGGATGTAGTATGCAATTAGTTATCAGTTATCGGTATTTTTTTTCAGGTAAAAATTAAAAATTACTTTCAATAAGAATTAATTGTACACTACAGAAGTCTTCTCTTGTATGTAGTGTACAAATACTGGAACAATATAATTTTCTTGGATAAAAAAAAATGAATAAACAAGAGGTATGAATAATATTAAAAATGACTGAAAAATAATCATTTGTAATTTAAATATTGAATAAAAAATAATTCTATTCTACTCTGAGGGAGCGAGTGAAAAGTGGAGAGCACGGTCGGGTGGTTGTGGGATGCGCGTGCGCGGGGTGGCGCCGGGTGGTGTCGGGACGCGTGCGGTGGCGGCGAGGTGGCGGCAGTCGCGCACTCAGCTCCGCCCGGCACGCACGATGCTCGCGCACGCGCACGCGCTCGCCGCCGCGCTGCTCTGCGCCCTCGCCGGCCAGCTCGGCGCCGGCGCCAGCCTCCACTGTGCCATGCGCCGCGAGATCTCCCCCTGCACCTGCCGCCGCGAGGACACCGGCACCGGCGCCGTCCTCGTCGTCTGCCAGCGCATCGCCAACTACAAGGATATCGCGCGCGCCCTCACCAACAAGTTCAGCCCCGAAACGAAAATCGGGCTTGACATCTCTTACTCGCAGCTACCCGACTTCGAGCACCACAGCTTCAGAGAACTCGGACTTTCTATCACGAGGCTCAAGCTAAACTTCGACAACCTAAGGCAAGTTTTTAAAGTTCTGCGAATCGATTCGTAATTGTTGTGCTGAATAAATAACGCATCGGAACCGACGTTGATATGTCAAAACAATGTGATTTTAAAGAGAAACAACAGGTCTGTGATAAGAACGACGTTGACAATCGAGCTGTTATCGAAGGAGTGGGCGGCGCCCTCCCCAGGGTTGGCCGCCAATTGCTGATTTCTGTCGTTCGCGAGGAAGTTCGCGACAAAAAAAGGCCGCTCGATGTGATTTAATCTACGCCGGAATGTGATTGCGATCACCACTCGGTAAATTTCCCTTCTCAGTAGTTCTATTATTTATCGAAACCGTATTGCTTATCAGCGCTGTTACAGTAATTATAACATAAAGGCAAAGACGAGGAACTAGAACCACATGGTCAACATTTTCTGCTGGATAGACTTAGTTCTCTCTGACAGTTTCGGTTGTCAGAGGAGGACAATTAGGACGTTCGTGACCCGTCGCACGACCCTTATTAACCACGTAATTGATCGTGTAAGATTTCCAATAGACGGTTGCAGAAGCGATTTTTTTTTTGATTTTTTTCGTGATCTCCCATAAACAGTTTATATATTTTTTTTTATAAAGATTAATTTTAATTTTCGTAAAATTATGACTCAACTAACACACTGTTATATTATGCTCTCGTACACGTTTTGGATATATGTGTCTGCATTGTTATTCTGTCATTATCAAGGGTCAAAGTCGCGGCGAAAGATAGATTTTAGAATTGACAAATATCCAAACATTTCGTAGCATTACAAAATATTATATCAATTACAAGATTATTCTATTATATTAGTGTCGGTAAATGAATTCCATTTACATATGGGGATCACATCACGGAGTACCGATAGTTTGCCGGGTTATCTCAGGTCACTTCCAAAGCAGTAAAATTGAATGATATCATATTAGACGTGTCGTATTCACTATGTTTACCCATTAATGGTGAACTAACAAATTAAAGCGGTCGTTGTTTGTCGTTCTTCGTTGATCAATTATCGATCGACAAACTTTCTTACATTGTCAAACTTTCGACAACTAAACTAAAGCCAATGCTGTAAATATTCCAATGTACGTGACGAAAGTCGCTTTATATTGCAGTTGATTTGCCGTTTTAATTAACCTTATCAGCTGCTTGTTTTTATTAAATAATTGTCAAAAACTTTGAATACACATCGCTAACGTTTCAAATTACTCATACATTTTAGTTTAGTTAATATATACAAGAAAAATAAAATAAGTTAAAATTGCCAAATATAAATAATAATATCCTATACTTTTAAATACATTCATGAGGAGCTGATCTTAAAGGCCGTGTCTTAATCGTCCATGGATTATGGAGTAAACCCATGGACGATTACAAAGAACATCAAATAAAAAATACATAGATGCATTGTCACCCCTGAGTATGTAACGCACCACAGTTTTTAATCATAATGTCTCTATCATCCTTCAAACTGTACACAGTAGTGCACAGCTGATTGGTATAAGAAAAAGACAAAAAGGTCAAGATTTCTAGACAAAAAAGCTCCTTTATATAAAAAAAAAAACACATTTATATTAATTTTAATGTTGAGAATTTCTTATTCTCGAGTTCTCCTGGCCTTTTTAAATGGAAATTATAATTTTATCCAAATATGGAAAATGATGAACGTATTCTTCAATTTGCATAAGCATTTTCATATCATCTGAGCTATCAAAAATATTTTAACGCATGTAAAGCTTGTTTGTTACAAGGAATCGCACAAAAGCGGCGTTCAACATTCGTAATACGTGTTTTTAATGATATTATCCTTTACAATAATTAAATTTATTAATTTATATCATACAAGTGCAGTGTAATTCATACTTTATCATTAAAAATATATACTTTATTTAGTATAGACTTGATTTATTCCTACTGTAATCACGCAGTGACGAGAAGCCCATATTAAAATTGCATGTACTCATTCCCAGGCTGTTTATAATTTAAAATGTTTGTGTATATTTTACTCTGAATTTTGCAGAAATCTAATATCGAATGTGAAAGTTTTTTTTATTTCTAATAGAGGGAGGGTTTAACACTAAAACTGTTAGTCTCAAATTCTTTATTGAAGTTGGTAAAAATTACCTCGCGTACAACCGCTGGGTAATTTTTACCAACTTTAATATAGTGGATTTCCGCAAAGTAACGCCGGATTCTATTAATTATCAAATTCTTTACTTCATTCATCTGGCTAGTGTAGTGGTCGTTAATGCGATTGCTGATAAAGAGATAACGAGTTTGAATGCCGTGTCAGGCCAATATTAGTCATTGGGTTTTTCTGTCACGAAACTCTCAGTACCGTCCCGGAGTCAGGAAGTTGGCGGTGTTTCATCCCAGTTTCCCGAGGAAGAACACAAAGCCATTGGTCCTGCGTCTGATCTCTCTCCTGTTGTGTCCGATTCCCGTCCCATCGGAATATGAGAATGAGGGAATATGCACCTGTACTTGCGCATACACACGGGCACTAAAATCCTGTCCTGCGTAAATGACTAGCCTAAGTTGGGACAGGCCATCGTGACAATAATTTGGTCTGAAGGAAATTATTATTATTACTTAATAAATGGGTATTAACGTATCAAATTAGTTAGCATGTTACTGTTATCGCCAATCTGTTCTTCTAAACGTTTTTGGTGTATACTTAGAATAGAATAGAATAATTTTTTATTCAATATAGATCACATGTGTAATTCTTATTGAAAGTCATTTTTTACTTTACCACTTGTTTTTTAAAAAAAAACCTCTGTCCTGGGAAGAACCAGCAAAAAACCCAGCGGGACTTTTTTTTAAAAGCAAATTTTACATTAATGGTTGTACAAACTACATAAGTACAAAATTTATTTTAGAAACGGTTTGGAAGCGACCACCTCATTCCCAGGGGTTATTATCAACCATGTTTTCATTTATAATATTATAACCCTTTTTATACAGTTTCAACTTAACAAAACATTTAAACTTTGTAATAGAGAGAGCCTATACACTTTCCGGGACCTTATTGTAATAGCGTATACATTGCCCCAAGAATGAATTACTGACTCTGTGGAGTCGAGAAAATGGAATCACTAGTTTGTGTTTGTTCCTATTGTTTACAGAATGTATATCACTTTTTTACTAAAACTACCTTTGTTTTTGTGAACATACATTAAATTTTCGTAAATATAGTGAGAGGCCAAAGTTAATTTATTTATTTCTTTAAATTTCTCTAAGAGACTCTCTCGGTTTTAGGTTGTAAACATCTCTAATGGCCCTCTTCATTGTTCACAGACATTGTTATATCCTAATGTTTCCACTTAGAATAGATCTATGTCTAACTCTCGATTGCTTACGGGTCAGTTAATAGAAAGCTTAGCTTAATATGTTTAAGTAAAAATTTATTTATCATCGTCATATATACGTAATACATGAACAGAGGGTTTCCACATAAAAGTACGGTCTTTATAGCTTAAAGTACGGACTTCAGTCACATATTTACGTAGACTTTCAATATATTTAACCAGTTCTTCATTCGATCCAGTGGTGGAACCTTAATATTTACTGTAACAGGTACAATGATTGTTAACTGTTATTTGTTTTGCTATAAATACGTTTTGAGTATTTATCCCAATAGCAATCTTCTCGATATCTCTTATTTATTCAATTATTTATGTGTCTGCATCACTTCCTGGGTTAATATATCCAGCTTCATTCGCGTCTCAAGCGATATGATGTTATTGATTACAAGTAACGGTGACAAACGAGCACACAGTCTACCTGATAAAATATAAATGATGTGCCCTATAATCGGCTACGTCTAAACTCGGTTAAAACTCAAAATGCCTAATACGCCTCGGCGTGGTATTATACACCTGAAGATTAACTTTACCACCGATCATAACGAAATCGAAATACATGGATTTTATTGCTTTCTATGTGCACTTAAGTGTTCTTTTTTGAAGTTTCTTTTTATACCAGCTAAATTTATAAAATAAATAAAATTGAAGTGTCTCTTTGTAATGTCAAAATTACAGTTTTTTTTTTTACTAAATGCATATGAAAGTAAATACGGTACTTATAACTACAATACAATTTTTTAAATTTTTGTATGTCTGTCTGTCCGTCTGTTTGTTCCGGATAATCTCCGAAACAGCTGGACTAATTTTGACGGGACTTTCACTGGCAGATAGCTGATTTCATAAGGAGTAACTTAGGCTACTTTTATTTTAGAAAAAGAATTAGAGTTTCGCGCAAAAACATAAAAACCCTAACACGCGAGCGAAGTCGCGGGGAACAGCTAGCCTTTATATATAAAATTCGGGTGTGCGTGTATTCCTAATTCTTCTCCTACTAAACGGTTTACCGATTTTAATTAAAATTTTATGGGGGTTTTAAGCTATAGCTAGACCAGGTAGATGACGCCGTTGTCGAGAGAGATCCAGAAATAACGCGTGCGAAGCCGAAGCGGTCACTATTTTACCATAGGAAACGTTTTACAAAATTTAGTTTTAATCCTTGACATAAGCCAAAGTATATTGGACAAATGTCTATCTATAGTACTTGCTTGTTAGATACAAACACAGTAAAGAAATGACCGGCAACTGTCTCGTGTTTACCCGAATCACTCTATCGCTGACCTAAGAACATTTAAACTATTAACAAAAAGTCTTCATTAAGTAGGAAAATTCCTTTCAAAGTCTTACGTAGAAAAATTTGAATATCTTATTATAACGAATAATCTAGTCCATCTATAATTCTTGAGTCCATTTGTATATGTATGTAATGAAATTGTTTTACAAACCCGAATGAATGTAATTTGGGTTTGGGATGGAAATGCAAAAAACACTCTATTCTTCCACGAAAGAAAAAAACAGTTTTCTTCACAAGTCAACATATTTTTAATCAACTACCGTTATAAACTATTTTAATTTTTCCTTCAGTTTATTCCTCTGACCGGAAAACAATTGGTTTTTAAAAAAAAATAAA